AACCACTGAGTTAAATCCCCAGTCCCCAGAAGTATATTTTCTGACCCGTTTGGCCTCTTATTTCTCAGTGACAAAACTGAAACACAGAACCTACTGCTCCCTACTCTCAGACTTCCCAGACCCCACCAAGTGTGTGGGGCTCCAGACCATAAAGCCACAGGGCACCTTCCTCAACAATGCCCACAGCAAAGCCCAGACCCTCCTCAACTCCCAAGGTCTCAGTCAATCCCGTATTACTGAACCTGGCCCAACGAAGAACTCTTGACTCTCCCATGCCTCCACCGCACACATACACCATCCTCTGTTTCTAGATCTATCTCTGCCCCTGAACGGGGCGGAATAAAATGCAGGGCCAGGCTGCTCCCAACACTGCCTCTCTCCCTCTCCAGTTGCTTAGCAACGCGCCAGCAAAACAGCAGGCTCAGCCTCATCGCTCTTGCTCCTGTAAGCTCTGGCAGCCAGCCTCACTCCTGCATTCCCTACCACTAATTTCCAAAATGCACTTCTTTGGGGCGAGAGGTTATAAAGTATACATAATAAAAATATAATATATACTTTTGTTTGTTTGTTATTATATGTAAGCCTGTGCTATATTAATATATGTATATAATATAGTATATGTGTATTATATATTAGTATATAATACGCTATATGCACATACACAAACATCTGTCTTGCAACCGCCGGAGAGAGGGGGAAATCCACACTCGGATTGCTCAGATTTGGGTAGTGGGAGAGCTGGGTCTTTGAGGAACAGGAATTTTGTTTAAAGCGCCCCAAAAGGACACTGTCCTCTCTCGCTGTCCATTTTCCTCTTCTTAAAAACTTTTTCCGTGCCACCTCCAACTTTTTAGGGAGGCTCTCCCACCCAGTCTGGCCAGCAGGAAGGCGTCAGCCTGGGCCGCGATGGAGCGCCGCCAACCCGCAACTGCCGCCCGCTAGGCACCTGCCTTCGGCCGAGTGGGGTCGGCGAGCTGGGCTGGGGCTGGGGCTGGAGCGGGGCCGGAGAGGGGGTGCTTCTGGTTGGCGCCAAGGCACCTCGAAGGTGGGGGTCGGGAAGGGGACTGAAGGGAATTGTAAAGGGACAAAAGTCGTGGGTGTGTGTGTGTGTGTTTGCGCGCGCACACGTGGAGAGGTTGATTGGGGAAGTCGGACGCGTCCGCTTTGCGGTCCCAGCATTTGCGTGCGCGCCCGCGCCCTGCGCGCACACTGACGTTACCGACTACAGCATTCCGCGGGGAAAATAGGAGTGGGACCGAATGCTGCGGCACTATAACTTGCACATTTTTGATGTAAATGGATTGTTACCCGAGCTCTAGCTTCCAGGCCAGGTATAAACCCGTACCTTTCCACAAGCAAAATCTTAAGAAAATAACCCTGCGCATCGGTCGCCGCTGCTTCCGGAGCTTGCCAAGTTCTCCCCTCCTCCCTCTTTTCAGGCTGCAACTCGTTGAACGACTACCTATTGCAAGGCCGAGGGGCTGGCACCTGCGACAGTCAAACCTGCTGTTCGCGGGGCTGAGGCTGAGCCCCGGGAAGCTCTTCTGTTGATTGGCAAGCGCGGAAACTCTCCTCTTACGCGACAGTGTATGAGGTTTGCATTTAAGAAAACTCAAACTGGGGTGCTTGTGAACAATTAGGTGGGGAAGGGCGTTGCTGCAGTAAGAAACTAAGCCAAATAACATTATTTAGCTAAGTCTTAACACCTTTAGGAGCGAATCAGTAACCAAGTTGACTTCTCAGAACCCAGACTTTTGTATAGCGTTTGTAAACTTATATATATAAATAAGTATAGACATATATATAATATATATATATACTTTTTTTCCCAGGGAACTCCAAAAAGAAAACTGGTATAAGCAGGCGGAACTGTTCTGATTGAACAGGAAGTTCTGTCAATCATTTAAACCCTAGACTCCTCGCGCCCAGAGTTTGGGGGCGGGGCATCTGGGGGCGGGGCAAATGGAAGGGAGGCTCCGGGTGCGTGGCTCTTCTGTCTCCGCCCTTGAATTTTGCATTCTGTGTTTCCAGGGCCTCTCTTGCATTTGAGCCACACCCACTCGTGATCTGGTTTGAGAGTTGGGGGGGGGGTTGAGGGCCAAGGTGGGTGGAGTGGAGTGAGGGTCGCGGTGGAAGGATAGGGGGAATCAGCATTGGCCGAGAAGTTGCAGATGTCTGTGTCTCACATCCCTCTGTGCCTCCCAACCCTATGTCCACCCTTCATCCCAGGTAAAATTTGGATCGAGGAGAGGAAAAAGTAGTTAAGATTCAGGGACGAACCATCCGGCACAGAACACCAAAACCTTCCTTCCTATACATCCCCCATCCCCTACTCCAGCGCTCCTTAAGTACTGTATTCTTTTCCTTCCTGAGGCAGAGAAATGGCATTTTGCAGTTTAACATGTTTTATGATCTACCACAATCAACCATATACAGTCAAAAGCAACGAGTGTGCACGTGAGAGGGACCTCAAGGCCCCCAACCAAACGGCGTTAGCTATCAAAGATGTGTGTGTATTTGTGTGTGTGCGCGCGCGCCCGCGCACAGGCGCGAGCAGGGGTAGCGAGGCGGACAGGTCTCGGAGCTGGGGCGGGGGGAGGGGCGGCTGGGGGACTGGGAGGGACCAGGATGGAATTAACCCAGAAGATGGGTAACGCCTCTCTCTTCAGGCCCTAATTAAAACAATATTTTAACAAAAGACATTTTTCAGGTTCAGTAATAAAGAAAGAGCATGGGAGTGAGTTGGGGGAGGAGGGAGATGATAATGCAACATACACTTTTTCAGAGTGTATACTGAGTACCATGGGAGGAGGGTCCGGTGGAGGCAGGGGTAAGGAGATGGAGCAAAACCGGGGATAGGCTGCGTTAGACAGCAGCCCAGGATAGCAGGATCCGCCAGGGCTCCAGGTCCGAGGTACAGAAACCCACCCCGACTACTCCCAGGATACACCAGGCTCCAAGCCACTTGCTGCGCAAAGCGCACGGGCCCAACCCGTCCCGCGTCCCCCGCCCGTGCGCCGGGTAGCTGGCACACTGAGCGCGCTCACCGATCTTGGCTTGCTCGCGGTAATTCTTTTCGTTGAGGCAAACCCCGCGGCCGTGCAGCAGGGCGTGCAGTGGCTTCTCCTCGCCCTGCCGTGGGAGGCAGCGCAACCCCAGGGCGCAGCGCTCAGTGTAGACGCCGCACGTCTGCCCCTCAGCCAGAGCGCAAGTCATGCAGCAGCCGCAGCCCGGTTCCTTGACCAGCTCGCAGCCCAGAGGGCTGGGGGGACACATGGAGAGAGCCTTCTCGTCGCAGGGCTCGCAGTGCACTAAGGAGCCCAGGCCCTGGGCCGGCCCCACACAGGCGGCCAGGAGCAGAAGGACCGTGGTGAGCACCATCTTCTCCGAGTCTCCTTTTACCTCGGGGCGGGGCAGGAGAGCGAGATTGCGGGAAGAAACGAGAAAGAGGGCGCCTGGAGATTTTTGTTCTTAAATCTCCGGCAGGTAGAGCAGGTGCCTTCCCCCAGACACTTGCAAAATGTAGGGAGAGGAGGTTTCAGGTGGCTGTAAGCAAGTCCCTATTGCAAGGATTCAAGACTTGCAACAGGTTGGGCGAAAAAAGAGGCGCGCCAGGTGCACGCGGAGTGAGCCGAGGCCGGAGAACCTCCAAGGGGATCTGGTCAGAATTGCAAGAGGAAGAAGTCACAAAATTGTTCACCCCAAAGCAACCACCGAAATAGTGAGCTCGGAGGCTGTGGAGAAGGGGGTGGCGGGGGGTGGTGAGAAAAATGGGTTTGTCTTCAAAAATTTTGCTTAAATCTAAGACACCCCGCTTCTTTCTAACCCTCAGCTGCCAGCGGCCCGCGGCTGCTGCGGACCAGGTAAGAGGCGCTGACTACAGCAGAGAGGTGGGAGAAAATGTTGAAATTGCGAAGTTTAAAAAAAAAAAAAAAAAAGAGAAAAGCCCCCCCCACCCCAAACCCTAACACCTCTTTTTCTCCCACTCTGCCACCACCTCTTCGAAATTCGCGTGAAGTCCGGAGAAGGGTGCAATCAGAGGAGGGAGTAATCAAAAGGAGCAAAAGAAGGAAAAAGCCCACAGGGCTTTGCAGCTCTTTCCTAGCTCTTTTCCCCTCGGCAGAAGTTTCCAAAGAGACTGCGGGCTCCGGGCGAGCAGGCGCTTTTAAATAGACGGCCCTTGGCCGCGGGCCAGTTTGTAGCTGCAATTTGAGCTCCCCAACACCCAACCCAGGCTAGGATGCCAAGGAGCTTTGCAGCACAGACTCACACGGGGTGGGGGCGGGGAGAGGCCTTCTAGACACACGGGGGCTCCCCATAGCTCTCGGAACAGCGCCCTCCTCCTCCCGGAATGTAAAAAAGGGGGTTAGGGGATGGGCTGGGGCTGCCGAGAGCGGGCAGGAGCTGGAGGGGCGAGCGGAAGAGATGTCTTCCTAGCTGGGTGAACACAACTGCCTTGGTCTCCCCCTCCGTTCTAGGTTCTAGCCTCCAACTAGCTGAGACACAGGCTGGAGGGAGACCCATTTTCCCATTAGCCAACTGGATATATTCTGTGCCCAAGAACTCTCTCCAAGCTTTGAAAAGGACTGTGTGCTAATACCCAAGTTACCATGTAAGGTGTGTGCATGTGTGTGTGTGTGTGTGTGTGTGTGTGTGTGTGTGTGTGGTGTGTACTTGCAGGAAGGGACATTCATCCATCAGCGTTTGGGAGCAGTGAGTTGAAGAGAAGTACATTTTGGAGGAAATGCTAAGTCTGAAAACCTTGCCACTTATCCTAAGGTGTCCTTGTATTGAGTTTTTAGACACAAGAGCAGCTTGGAGTGCCACTCTGGTTTAAAAGGGGGTTTGCTGCCGGGCAGAGGTGCTCCTGGAGGGAATGGGTGTCAGACCAGGGGAGACCTCATCCTGAGGTTAATGGTGCAAACAGGCACGTCTCAGGGATATGAGATGACACGCCCATAAGACCTGCTCCGAAAAGATTCTGACCAGGAACCTTATCAGGTCACTTGAAACCTCAGACAGGCTGTTGGGCACTATGGACCCCTTCTTTCTTTAGTAGAATGAAAGAAAACCAAAGCTTTGAAAGAAGAGAGTGGCACTTTTAGATTTTTATCTGAAATTGACATGAGAGGTGAGCTACTGACGGCTCTGGCAGGTCAGAAAGAAATGGCCAATTGGCACTGCCCCTGTGGGAGTACTTGGGATGGAGCTGCTGCCCCTTTTACATTTTCTTTCCTTCCCTGTGAAGTGCTGTAGCTTTCCTTTGGAGAAGGGGCTGCATTTCATAAAGTTTGCCACTAGACTGCACCCTTATCTATGATAAGAATTCTTTGTGGAGGACTGCTTTCAAAAAAGTATTTCTCTAGTGAGTTCGATTTAGAAGCATTTCATTTGATGCTGTTCACACTCCCACATCCCAATCTCTTTCCTCACTTATCTATTTGCCGAAAGGCACATTTGAAAATAAGCCTAAAGTTTAAAGTTCTACTTTTGCTCCTATTGCCAAAGGAGTTTTAGGTGTTGACTGGGAGAGGGAGGTAGGAGCTGTGTGTAATGATTAAAAAAAAAAATAGCAAGGCTTATTTGAATTGCCTCTCCCTTCTTTCTGGAGGCTTGGTAAAGCAAGGAGAAAATTAATATTCAACAGTTTGGTTGGAATATGTTAGAAGAGAAGGAGATCGTGTGTTAGTCTCTCATCTGTGTCAAGTTCAGACTCAAAGAGTGGCGTCACTGTGCGTGGTGTGTGAGGCCTCTCTGCACTGCCTCAGCTGCTCAGCTCACTGTGGGCCTCGAGAGCATCTGAGTGGAGTAGGGAAAGTGGGGTACTGCTTCCAAAGAGACCTGAGCGGCCTAGTTCCGGCTACCCTGTATTTCCAGGAGATGGTCTTCCACAATACTTCTTTCTGTCTGGCCAACTTTTAGGGGCTGGAAAATACGGTGCGAGGACAGGTAAAAGGAAGAGTGGATGATTCATAGGGAAGATGAAAGGGGTAGAAGGCAGGAGGAAGCGAATGTGGTATGGGGTGGTCCTTGGGGGAGGTTAGGGGGGGCAAGGGGAGAGTCTTTCTCTGTAAGAAAGACTATCTGGTCACGCAGCCATTCTTTATCTCTGCTTTGACCTTCACTCGGGTTTAGGCCTGGAGGAATTCAGGGCCTGAAGCCGCTGTCCCAGGGCCCTGGGATAGGCTTCCCAAGAAGGCAACAGAGGAAGAAGAATTCTTGGCATCCTGGGATTGTTTAGAGTGATTTTGTCCAAAGATAGGGGACTGACAGGGCGAGTTTTGAGCCTGAGAGTCCATAATTAATATATGACAGTGGAGGCGGAAGGGGTGGATTGTCAGGATTACCTTGCAGTGGTCTCTTGATTCCATGCTTCCTCTCCTCTGTTCTGAAGGTGCAGGTCTCTTCCCAACCATCTTCAGAAAACTGATTCTGCAAAAAAAGCTGCCATCAAGAGTTTCATCAGGAGGGGCTTATTTATCCCTGCCAGACACAAATGTTAGAGCCCAGTTTTCTTTCCCAGAGGTCTCCTTGGTTGCTGACTTATTTTTATTGCTACCCTGGAATAGATGAGCTTCGATCCCTTTTAAGCCCATCTTTCTTGTAGAAGTAGGAAGTTAAATATCCACCTGTGCCCTTTTTCCCCAGAGATCACCCCTCCCCTTTCCTTTAAAAGATTAATGGCCTATTAAAACTAAGTTTCAAGAAATGTCATCTAGTGAAAGATTTGTGTTCTCTATTTGGACTTTTCAAAAGGTGAATAGCATGCTTAATCTTATAAAGCCCACTAGAGTGCTTTTCCCTGTGGTCATTTTCTGTGAGTTTCTAAGTAATTTTGAAGGCAATGATGATGTCTGCAAACATGGGTGGGAGAAGCTCAGCTTTTTAATAGGACACAAAGTGTCATGGGTTCTTTTGGTTGGAAAGGTTAAACCATCAGGTAAGGGGCTTGTCTTCATTCTCTCTCAGACAGGCTTATTTATACCATCATTTCCATTTTCAAGACCTCATGACATCAACTTCAGTCTCTTTTGGAGAGACCTGTACATATCACGTGTACCAAAGCTGCTGTATCATCAGAGTCCCAGACTAAGGAATAGTGACCTTTAAGAAAGAGTAGCTAGCCCTCACGTCCTTCCCTAAGCAAGGAAAGTTCAGTGGGCCTGAGGTCTTGGGCAGAGGAGCCACGGAAGGCAGCTTTGTTGCAGTGATGTTGCTGAAGGCTAGGTGGCAGGCTAGATACATCGTTAAAACACACCTCCTTTCCTGAAGGGAAACAAGCTGACTGGGAGAATTGTTTAACAAAGGAGGTGGGGAATACAGGGGAACAAAATGCTTGGCTAGAGGGACATACTGTATATCAACAACCCATATGTTCACTTATATGCTACCCCGGCCTGGGGACTATGACACCATCCTGAACCATACTGAACTGGAAAATCATCCCAACAGCTGCATTCACGTTTACTTTTCTTTGGAGACCAGGTACAGGCAGCTCAGGACTTGGAGAGCATTGGATTCATCAAAGGATGCCCTATGGCTTCCTGATGAACAATTAGAATGTAATCTTCAAAGTACATAATTAAAAGAAATTTAAATGTTAATTGTAGCATATTTTACATACTCAAGAACAGAAGATAACACAAGTTCCTTTGTACTCTCCACACCATTTCATACCTGTGAACATTTTGCCATCACGGTTGGAAATTTTATTAAGAAGTAATGCAGGGTTACAGGTAACAGCTCACTTGGTTCATCCTATCACATCCTCTTGGTAGAAGTAGCCACTCTCTTGACATAGTTTTCTGTATCCTTTCTGCACAATGTTTTTCTAGGTCATATATGAATCTTTAAAAATAAAATAGTGTTAAGATGATTTTTGAGGATCAAACCACGTGCTGCTTTAGAGTTAAAGTTTTGTAAAGTGGTACCTGCTGCAGCAATTGATGCTCAGGCTGACTGCAAAAGGAACAGGAGCCAACTGTGAGTCAGAGCAATCTGTATCCCTATATGAGCAGTATATAAGCTAATAGTTTTATGAATTGATTTTTAGGAGGCTCTGGAGCAGATCCAGACAGATAAGGCAGAGCAGAGAGAACTCCATAAACACAGTTTTGAGCTGGAGTCTTCTTGGATCACGGGCTCTGGCACATCCCTGCGTTGGACAGCTCAGAAGCTGTGTTAATTTTGGAAAGTGAGATTAACCAAGAAAAGTGATCTGTTGTGATTTAGAAGACAGTGTTGGTAGGTCCAGGTCTAGGAGGGAGAGAGAAGAGGTAGGTAGAGAAATGGAGTAAGAGGAGATGGAAAGAGTGTTAACTGCTTGAAGCAGGTTTAATAGGAGGCCTCTGAGCTGTGAAAAGGCCAAATAAAATCACAGTGCCTGATGGAATCTACATTTCATCCCAGTTCAGCAGGCAGAGGTGGTAAAAACCAGCTCACCACCATGAGCACATAGGGCATATTTGCGTGAATTAGAAAAAACTGCCCTTCCTCGAGGTATTTTCCTACTAGTCATCAGAAAATTGTTATAAGATACGGATTTTGGATTCTTAAAAATAAGTTCCAATAGACTTTTATTGTTGGGCTTAAAATATGTTAATTGTAATGTAACCTAAATTTATACAAACATATTAAGGTCTAAATTCCATATGCCTATGTCACTGTAAAATCTAACACAAATGTAAATAAAGTCAACCAAAGCTACCAGCCCAACAAAGTGCACAGTGACATTAGTTTAATGTGTTGGTTAATGTTAGGGTTGATGTTTTACTGAAAATAAATCAGTATTTCTGTTGTGATTATGGTTTAACTGTTATAGTACAAGGTTTTTGAGCTTGGCATGCATACAGTTGATGTCTCGTTTGGTGATTTAATTCTTCCACTACTTTTTAAACTACAGTGGAGTCATGCCTTACAGAGTGGTTAGTTTTAAAGTCAGCTTGGAATATAAAAATTGGGTATAATCAAAATTCCCCATGAAAATTCCTTAAAGCACTTTCAAAACAAAACTGTACCACAAAATCTTCACTTTTGCAACATGGCAACGTGTCACTCTGCCTTCACTCAACTTCTTTAGATTATTTCAGGATCAAGTCCACTTCTACTCTTTAGCCCACTAGCACGTGACAATGCTAGTGGTGT